AAAGAATGAGAATCCATCTGAATCAGTCTGAAGTGAGCTTATCAGAGAAAATTGGCTTCAAATGTACTAAAAAACTTGAAATCTATGGTGGTATTCTGCGATATTTCAGAAGCAATTCGAAGCAATTTGTCGCCTCATCATTACGATACTTTTCGCCATATCTTTCGGCGCTTACTTTGTGATTTTTGTTAAGAAAGTTTTCATGAGAAAACGTCGGCGACAGCATCCAGTTGCGAGGTTTGTGATCGGCATGCATTACGGTTGTTTTCGAAGTAGTTAAGTTTCAAGTGAATCGCCAAGAGCGTTGTGAACTGATCCACTTTGGTTGATCAAAACCAGTTCTTCCAATCAGCCAATCGATACATCCAAAACCATATGAAGGGGTCATCATCTAGACACTGACATAGGCTACAGTCCTCCAGGCAATTGACGTTAACAAGAAGTGGTAGAGAAAATAAACTGCTTACAATTAGAGAGTAACATGCCTATAGCCGTTTAGCTTTTATGCTCACCAAAGAAATATCCTTCTCCCAATGACAGAACAAAAATTCATTAGATCTCTTCATTCACAACATTTCAGGGATATCGAGTGGATTGTGCACACAATTCGTAGTGATCCAGATAGCGAGGATAGTTCAGAAGGTAATCAAGTTTTGGATCTCATATCCACTGATTACTTCTAACTTTCACGCATTCAAATCACATTCAGTTGAAGAACTGAAGAACTCTCCAATATCACTAACTTGGNCTCTGAAAATCTTAACGCTCCTCATATCCTGGCAACGAATCCGCTTCGTTGATAATCTTCGAATGAACTTCAGTGATCCCGCATCAGCCTTCAGTGGCGCCGTATTTCGTCTCTCGTGAATTACATTTCACAATCATTTGTTTCATAACGCTTCTATTCTACGGTATTCACCAGTGGACTGCAAATGAGGTGAGCAATCGCGTTTCGTCATCTCTTCACCATTATTATCCATTTCGCACACAAGTCTTCATTCCATGCTTTCTGTTTTTGGTTCCATCCTTATACGAAACAGCACTGAATAATCGCGGACGATTTTAGAAGGAATTGTCTTTTTTTGCTCTGACTAGCTAAGCTCAGGCCATCTATTGTGGAGGAATGGTAGGTCTCAATGGTAGAACCGTATCGTTTGTTTCAAATGATTTTTATTTGGTTATTCAAGGACTGTGAAATATTTCAGGAACATTTCTGCCTATCCACTGGTGTTAAGAATGCATCGACACTGACGAGTTTAGCATTACCGATACTGTTGCTTGTCTATTGGACATTGCCACATTTATACCGTCATTTGTTGTTCCACTCGGCCAACTCACCGAAACTCGCTAAACTATTCAAATTCATTCGCTCACTGACTATTTTAAGCGCGATTTGTCCATGTGCACGTTCGAGAGTGGCTGAAGGTATGGATGGCATTGTTTTATGGTTGGGATGGATGAGGATTATACGAATTATTATCGTTATGACTGATAGCATGTGAACATCGTGCGGTTTTGCCTTGATTCAGCTTCTTCATCGAGAGAATGTTCACTTTTGATGGCCATTCATATTGTAATGCGATTGTATTTTCAGTGCTATTCAATTCATTTCTAGGTCCAGCAACCATTCAAATGGATGGTCCACGTTTTTCACTTCAAACCACTAGAAACGGTATACCGTATCGAGTACGTCAAGATCGTTCAAGGTCAGAGGACTTGGGCTCGACTCGAGTTCGAATTGCAACAATTTTTATGAATAATGAACGATAGATATTTGATATCATTGTGAAAACATTATCGCGTTTTTCCGCTTACATACAATGAATAAAGATTTGAGAAGATCGGCACAGTTGATGATATGCACTAATTTGTTGATGAAAACTGGAATAGCTCAGGTTCTTCGTTTCATGAATGCCAAAAGCTCAAGATGGCTGTCGGAAATTAATACGTCACGCACTAATCGCACGGAATTCATCGTTCTGTTGAGCAATTTTCACCAGAAAGGTGGATGGAAATGATATAGCTGATGTATTTGTAACAATATGTCATTGACGAACGACCGTATGACACTAAAATAAAAACTTATTTATCAGGAACTAGCTATTGTCAGTCGACATCCCATACACTTCCTTGTACTAGAGATTCTACTGAATCCAATATGACAGGGAATAATTGTGTTTTTGAGCAAGCTAGAGGACATATGTCACTCGAAAATGTTTCTCCTAGTATTCCGATTGGAATGTAAGATTTGCTCAACTGGAGATCAATTGTATCAAGTGTGGCAATACAGCGAAATCAATCAGATATCCGATACAAGTTTAAAAAACTAACTATAGATAAAGGTAAATAATGTTTATTTTTGATGATCAGCTCACCTCAACGATCTTTTGGAGCAGGATTCGGTGTCTGTTCTATACATTGAGATTTTGAGAATTTTGATCGAAATCTTCAGTTGATTTTGAAGTTTCCGAGATTTGGAGATGTTTTATTGAAGGAAATGATGTGAGATTTTCTTAATTCGATAGACAAATTAGCTTAAAGCCAATCAGTATGGTGTCAGCATCAGTTGAATGCATCAATCAATGTTCTTTTTGGCTTGTGGATGATTGCCCCATTACATTCTCGGTTGTATATGAGAAAGCTTAGCGATTAGTAATTATTTCGGCATGTATATGTGCAGAAAATGAACTAAGTTTCGTTGATACACATTTGTATGGAGGTTTATTTGAAGCTCATTGAGCTTAAAGACAAGCAATACGCACTGTGGTTCATGCTGCTTGCTTCACGATTGAGAAGTTAATGTTGAATGGATGCAAGATGATGAAACTCATGAATGAATGGAAAGTACGCTAATTTCGTGACAGCAATTGCAGAATTAGAAGATAAAGCCGCATGGAATTGAGATTAGGAGGGTAAGCGATCATCATCAAGAAAGCTTTCTTAATCATCATTGTCTTTCAAATTGCTTCGCCTGTTGGACTGGCTCGGAGGCAATGCCGATGCTTATTGCTCGCCTACTCGTGCAATAATAAATTTAGTCGAAAATCACATCTGCAACCACCACACCCAACTCCGATGCTTTGATCGGTTCTCATGTTGGCGAGAGTGGTAAATTCATCATCAGATGTTAATCACTTCGAGGAAACTAATTTTTTTTTCTGTTGATGAGTGAACAGACTTTCAAAGTTGTTCACTAGCGAAAAGAGCTGATTGTCAGTAAAATGCTTTTATGTTACCATGAATTCCAGTGGACAGTGTGAATTTTCATATCATGTTCCACTTTCTCCTCTATCGTTCGGGTCCAATATTTGTGGATACGAAATGGGATGTTTTCCATGCAAGGAACATTACTGGTACTACTGTTGCACTTACTATTCCTAATGTTGGACATCATATACTTAAGGTTCCATGAATTCATCCAATATGGAATGGTTCAAGGGGCTTCTTGCTTTTCTTTAGCATCTGTTGATGGTGTTTTTGTTGACGGATCAATATGAAAATGGAGCGTTGATCGATTCCACGTGCTGGCAATGATCTGCGTATTAAGACCCAATTCTTTACGATCCGACATCGTTGTGATGCTGCATATCAATGTGCTGCATATCAGAAATTTTGGAACGTGATCCAGAAAAATGTATGCACTTTACTTTGAGAACCGATTCATCATTCATTCACTCATTTGAATTGATAAATCTGCATTGTTAGATACAACTGATGGATTAAGCGTGTCATATCCACAGCTGTTTTGAATGCATTATGGAAATGTAAAGAATGATTCCAAATATCCGCATATCAATTGTGCAATTCATTTTGTGATTTTTTTTAACGTTTCCGCATCATCGAACATTAATATTTTCTTGCTTCATAAGATCGCTGCCATGCTCTTCTCATAAAATGCACTGTTGTCGAGAGCGCCTCCACAGAGATTTCGTAAGCGAGCAATTTCCACCACAATGGATTCGTAACAAATGAACAAAGTCTGTCTATCAATAGACCGACTATTGCAGCAGCTTCTCTCGGAGATCCATAAAAAAACAACACTAACGAACGATTATGCTAACGATGTGACTCACCATCGTCTTCCTGGATGTGAATGAAATCGTTGATGTTTTAAAGGACGAACATCTGAGAGAATGACTAAGGAAAAGGCTGGCTTCGATGTACTAGTGGGTGTGAGCGGTTTTTTTTTTGGTGAATGTGTTCTTAGTCGTGGTGCAATTTCAATGATTCATCTTGGGTTTGAACTGATATTTTTTGCAGTTCAATATGGTCAGTTCAACTGCTGTTGAGTCAGCCTCAACATCAGTCTGGGTTACTCATATCCTTCCCAACTGTGAAGTCTTGT